CGGTAAGACAGACTGTGTACAAATGGAGAACGTTTAGCACTGTTGCTACTCTCCCTAGGCGTGGTCATCCTGTAAAAAATGACTGCAAGAGCACAGCGCAGAATGCTGCATGAGGTAAAGAAGAATCCCAGAGTGTCAGCTAAAGACCTACAGAAATCTCTGGCACATGCTAAAATTTTTGTTGACACATCTACAATAAGGAAAACATTAAACAAGAATGGAGTACATGGGAGGACACCACGGAGGAAGCCATTGCTGTCCATAAAGAATATTGCAGCACGTTTGAAGTTTGCAAAAGAGCACCTGGATGTTCCACAGCACTACTGGCAAAATATACTGTGGACAGATGAAACCAAGATTGAGTTGTTTGGGAAGAACACACAACACTATGTGTGGAGAAAAAAAGGCACAGCACACCAACATCAAAACCTCATCCCCACTGTGAAACATGGTGGAGGGAGTATCATGGTTTGAGGCTGCTTTGCTGCCTCAGGGCCTGGACGGATTGTTGTCATTGATGGGAAAATGAATTCCAGAGTTTATCAAGACATTTTGCAGGAAAACATACGACCATCTGTCCGCCAACTGAAGCTCCGCAGAGGATGGGTGATGCAACAGGACAATGACCCAAAGCATACAAGTAATTCCACAAAACAATGGCTGCAACAGCACAGAATACGCCTTCTGGAGTGGCCCAGTCAGAGTCCTGACGTCAACCCGAATGAAATGCTGTGGCATGACCTTAAGAGAGCGATTCACACCAGACATCCCCAGAATATTGCTACACTGAAACAGTTTTGTGAAGAGGAGTGGGCCAAAATGACTCCAGATCGTTGTGCAGGTCTGATCTGCAACTACAGGAAACGTTTGGTTGAGGTTATTGCTGCCAAAGGAGGGTCAACCAGTTATTAAGTCCAAAGGTTCACATACTTTTTCCTCCCTGCACTGTGAATGTTTACATGTTATGTGCAATTAAACCATGGAAACATCTAATGTTTGTGTAGTATTATGTTCAGCAGACTGTGTTCTTCTATTGTTGTGACTTAGATGACGTTCAGAGCACATTTTATGCCCAATTCATGCAAAACTCCACGTAATCCCAAGGGGTTCACATACTTTTTCTTGCAACTGTAAGTGCAGCAGAAAAGTAATGGATTAATAAAAGAGTAAATATGCGCTCATAGGAGTATGAGGAATAAAACACAGGACATGTATCCCAAAGGCCGACATCTGAGGTCCCAGGCAGGGTGGAAGAACATCCGGCTAAGTAGAAAACTGAACCGCCGTGGAGAGTGCAAGTCAAGTGTGATCAATCTGTGGCCCTCCAGCTGTTGCGGAACTACAAGTCCCATCATGCCTCTGCCTTTGAGAGTCATGCTTGTAACGGTTAGCCTTGCAATGCTTCATGGGACTTGTAATTCTGCAAAACCTGGAGGGCTACAGGTTGAGCACCCATAGTGTAAGTCAAGGCATGGAAGATGAACTGTCAACAGTTTGACAGTGTGACAACCATTATTCCCATTGACACCAATAATGGGACACTATACCTCCTCAATGACACCAATGATGGGGCACTATTCCTCCCACTGATACCAATGATGGGGCACTATTTCTTTCAATGACACAATGATGGGGCATGGTGTAAGTCAAGGCATGGAAGACGAACTGTCAACAGTTTGACAGCGTGGCAACCATTATTCCCATTGACACCAATGATGGGACATTATACCTCCTCACTGATATCAGTGATGGGGCACTATTCCTCCAACTGACACCAATGATGGGGCACTCTTCCTCCCACTGATACTAATGATGGGGCACTATTCCTCCCACTGATACCAGTGATGGGGCACGATTTCTTTCAATGACACCAATGATGGGGCACTATTTCTTTCAATGACACCAATGATGGGGCACTATTTCTTTCATTAACACCAATGGCAACCTCCGCAGTGATGTCACACTTCGGAGGCGTGTGTGTGTGTGTGGGGGGCATGACTACGCATTTCAAGGCGGTCATGTTGTTCTTTCTTAAGCCTGCCTATCCATGCATCCATCTCCCCTTTAGGCAAACAGTTGCCGAAAATGGTAAACACCCCTCCAGCAGCCAAAAAGGAAAGGATCCAAAATCACTGCCCCTCAAATACACGCAATAGAGGAGACAGAGTTCGTATAATCTATGAGAACTGGCGGGCAGCTGGGAACATCGGGTGGACAGATAAACATATAGCACACGGTTGTCAAACTGGCGGCCCTCAAGCTGTTGCCAAACTATGTCCCATGAGGCATTGCAACATTGACAGTTACAAGCGTGACTCCCAAAGGCAGAGGCATGATGGGACTTGCAGTTTCGCAAAAGCTGAAGGGCCACCAGTTTGACAACCCTGGTCTAGCACATAAAAGATTATGTAAAGGCATTACTCATGGGAGGCATGAGTGTGCCTAAACGCACAACATTCTCGCCTAGGTGAGAATTAAGGAAGTAGGAGCAGGTACCTGTCAAAAAAAGTCCGATGTGTTAGGCATGGGGGAGGGGGATTGAATAACCGGCACTTACACTTTTGAGTGAAGATCTGCTTTAAATGAACATTTTTGTGCCAAAAGTTCAGCTTTGTACAGTGACCACTGGTGACTATATTTCAGAAGTTTTCAGGAGCCACGACAAGGTTCCCAGCCTATAACAGATGCTGCCCTCTTGTTGTATCTCAAAAAAAACATTGACCCTACCCATATGGAAGAAAAATATATTCTTCCCAAATATAATGACATATATTTTAAATACTACAATTTTGGCAGTATTCAATATATACACACACACACATACTGCATGTTAAAATGCATGTTGCGTTTTTATTACAATATATCAGAAAAATATTTATAAAAATACATTTCAAATATACTTGAAGAATATATTTAAAAAAATATATTTTTTTAAAGTATATTAGAAATGTATTTTTTAAAATATTTTTCATATATTTTGTAATAAAAAACGCATTTCAACATGCAGTGTGTGTGTATATATACACACACATATATATATATACATACATATACACACACATACATACACATACATATACACACACATACATACACATACATATACACACACATACATACAGTGGGGTAAAAAAGTATTTAGTCCGCCACCAATTGTGCAAGTTCTCCCACTTACAAAGATGAGAGAGGCCTGTAATTGGCATCATAGGTAGACCTCAACTATGAGAGACAAAATGAGAAAAAAAAAAATCCAGACAATCACATTGGCTGATCTGGAAAGAATTTATTTGCAAATTATGGTGGAAAATAAGTATTTGGTGAATATGAAAAGTTCATGTCAATACTTTGTTATATATCCTTTGTTGGCAATGATAGAGGTCAGACGTTTCCTGGAAGTCTTCACAAGGTTGGCACACACTGTTGCTGGTATGTTGGCCCATCCTCCATGCAGATCTCCTCTAGAGCAGTGATGTTTTGGGGCTGTCGCTGGGCAACACGGACTTTCAACTCCTTCCAAAGGTTTTCTATGGGGTTGAGATCTGGAGAGTGGCAAGGCCACTCCAGGACCTTGAAATGCTTCTTATGAAGCCACTCCTTCGTTGCCCGGGCGGTATGTTTGGGATCATTGTCATGTTGGAAGACCCAGCCACGTTTCATCTTCAATGCCCTTGCTGATGGAAGGAGGTTTGCACTCAAAATCTCACGATACATGGCCCCATTCATTCTGTCCTGTACATGGATCAGTCGTCCTGGTTTGCGGAGAAACAGCCCCAAAGCATGATGTTGCCACCCCCATGCTTCACAGTAGGTATGGTGTTCTTTGGATGCAACTCCGCATTCTCTCTCCTCCAAACACGACGAGTTGTGTTTCTACCAAACAGTTCTATTTTGGTTTCATCTGACCATATGACATTCTCCCAATCCTCTTCTGGATCATCCAAATGCTCTCTAGCAAACTTCAGACGGCCCCGGACATGTACTGGTTTAAGCAGGGGGACACGTCTGGCACTGCAGGATCTGAGTCCCTGGCGGCGTAGTGTGTTACTGATGGTAGCTTTTGTTACGTTGGTCCCAGCTCTCTGCAGGTCATTCACTAGGTCCCCCCGTGTGGTCCTGGGATTTTTGCTCACCATTCTTGTGATCATTTTGACCCCACGGGGTGAGATCTTGCGTGGAGCCCCAGATCGAGGGAGATTATCAGTGGTCTTGTATGTCTTCCATTTTCTAATTATTGCTCCCACAGTTGATTTGTTCACACCAAGCTGCTTGCCTATTGCAGATTCAGTCTTCCCAGCCTGGTGCAGGTCTACAATTTTGTTTCTGGTGTCCTTCGACAGCTCATTGGTCTTCACCATAGTGGAGTTTGGAGTGTGACTGTTTGAGGTTGTGGACAGGTGTCTTTTATACTGATAACAAGTTCAAACAGGTGCCATTGATCCAGGTAATGAGTGCAGGACAGAGGAGCCTCTTAAAGAAGAAGGTACAGGTCTGTGAAAGCCAGAAATCTTGCTTGTTTGTAGGTGACCAAATACTTATTTTCCACCATAATTTGCAAATAAATTCTTTCCAAATCAGCCAATGTGATTGTCTGGATTTGTTTTCTCATTTTGTCTCTCATAGTTGAGGTCTCCCTATGATGCCAATTACAGGCCTCTCTCATCTCTGTAAGTGGGAGAACTTGCACAATTGGTGGCTGACTAAATACTTTTTTGACACACACACACACACACCATGTTGAAATGTGTTTTTTTACAAAATATATGGAAAATAGTTTCATATATTTTGGAATAAAAAAGCATTTCAACATGCAGTGTGTGTGTATATATATATATATATGGAATATGGCCAACATTGTAGTATTTCAAATATATGTCATTATACTTGGGAAGAATATTTTTCAAATATATTTTCTTCCATGTGGGTAAGTCCTTTTGAAAAGATGATATTCAGGGTAAGATCTATGGGGTTGGTACATGTATGAGGTTTACACGTGGACTTACCTGTGCACTTTGCGTGATCTCTTCTCTTTCTTTCACGGCCATGTAAGCCAGGGCATCTGTAGGTTCCCTCTCACATGGGTCGTGCAGGCCTGGCCCTCCTAGAAACACAGATTATTTATACTGGTTGAACTCAGATTGGTTCATACAAAGATGTTGACTGAAAATCCATCAAACTCAGTGAAAATAAAGGGAAGGTACATTGGCTGTGACCACAAACATTATTCGTACATTTCCCCCTCAAAAGGAGCACAGTGGCAAGGCTAGGGACCTTTCTGTATTCGCATCACTAAATAAACTTTACAGCAAGCCCTTACTGGCCCCATAGTTGCAACCACTGTGGAGTAATTCATACTCTAAAGATGGAAGCAGAATTTTTTCAGTTTCAGTTTCTCTTTATAGCTGAGCTCTTCAGTGCTGACAGGGTGTTAGCAACCTTCCAGCTTGCAAAAGTCTAATGTAAAAACACAGGAAAAAGGGGACAGCAGAGTGCTGACACCCCCCACGATTTCACTGCTTCTATTGTGCATTTTCAGAATGAATTGCTCCACATTAGCTATAGCTATAGAGGTCAGTGAGGACTTATTTTAAAGCTAAAAAAGCTGGAGCACCGTCACCAGGACATCTGACCCGTCACCAGGACACGAAGAGCAGAGTGCTGACACCCCTCTCCAACATTTCACTGCTTCTCTAGTGCATTTTCAGGATGAATTGCTCCACATTGGCTACAACTATAGAGGTCAGTGAGGACTTATTTTAAAGCTAAAAAAAACTGGAGCAACGTCCCCAGGACGTGACCCGCTTTGGCTTAGCCCCGCCCCATGCTTAGGTGAAAAAAAAAAAAAAAGGCTGGTGGTGTGCCCTATCATTTAGACCTGGGAGCCTATCTGGGTTTACACCCAGTTTTATAAAAGCTGCAGAATGGGTGTACATGTACAGGGGGATTTTGGTTCAGCGCCTTTAGTTTTGGGGGATTTATGGTTAAAACAGGCGTGTTTTTGGGATTTACTTCAGCGTCTTGGTGTTTATGGTTAAAACACATTGGGGGATTTATGGTTCAGCGCCTGGTTTCAGGGATTTAAATACCTTGGGAGTTTTGGGGGATTTATGGTTCAGCGTTTTGGAGAATTTATGGTTCAGCGTCTTTGTGTTTTGGGGGATTTATGGTTAAATATCCTTGGCGTTTTGGGGGATTTATGGTTCAGCATCTTGGAGTTTTGGGGGATTTATGGTTCAGCGCCTTGGAGTTTTGGGGGATTTATGGTTAAATACCTTGGAGTTTTAGGGGATTTATGGTTCAGCGTTTTGGGGGATTTATGGTTCAGCATCTTGGAGTTTTGGGGGCATTTATGGTTCTGCGCATTGGAGTTTTGGGGGATTTATGGATAAACACCTTGGAGTTTTGGAGGATTATGGTTCAGCGCCTTGGAGTTTGGGGAGTTTTATGGTTCAGCGTCTTGGTGTTTTGGAGGATTTATGGTTAAATGCGGAGTTTTGGGGGATTTAGGATTCAGCATCTTGGAGTTTTGGGGGATTTATGGTTAAACCCCTTGGTATTTTGGGGGATTTATGGTCAAACACCTTGGAGTTTTGTGGAATTTATGATTCAGCGTCTTGTTGTTTTGGGGGATTTATAGTTAAAACACCTTGGCGTTTTGGGGATTTATGGTTCAGCACCTTGGTGTTTTGGGGGATTTATGGTTAAACACCTTGGTGTTTTGGGGGATTTATGGTTAAACACCTTGGTGTTTTGGGGGATTTATGGTTAAACACGTCTGAAGTTTTGGGGGATTTATGGTTCAGCGTCTGGTTTTGGGGGATTATGGTTTTGGAGTTTTGGGGGATTTATGATTCAGTGTTTTGGGGGTTTATGGTTCAGCGTCTTGTTGTTTTGGGGGATTTATGGTTAAAACACCTTGGAGTTTTGGGGGATTTATGGTTCAGCGTCTTTGTGTTTTGGGGGATTTATCTTGGCGTTTTGGGGGATTTATAGTTCAGCATCTTGGCGTTTTGGGGGATTTATGGTTCAGCATTTGGAGTTTTGGGGGATTTATGGTTCAGCGCATTAGAGTTTGGGAGGATTTATGGTTCAGCACCTTGGAGTTTTGGTGCATTCATGGAGTTTCGGGGGAATTATGGTTATGAGTCTTAGAGTTTTGGGGGGTTTTATTTGAGCGCCGTTGTTTATGGTTGAGCGTCCTGGAGTTTTGGGGCATTTATGGCTGAGCGTCTTGGTGTTCTGAGTTATTTATGGTTGAACGTCTTGGAAAGTTTGGGGGATTTATGGCTGAGCATCTTGGAATATTGGGGGGGACTTATGGCTGAATGCTAGATTTGACCTCAGATGGTAGTCCAGAAAATTTATGCTACATATTAGTTTGTTTCCTGTCCATCAAGTCATCTATCACGGGGGGGCAAACTGATATTTTGTGAGGCCTTTGGGTTTTAAGTTGAGAAGCGCCTCATGAGGGATTTCGCAATAACCATAAATCCCCCAAAAATCCAAGCCGCTGAACCAATTTTCTTCAAATTAGCCGCAGAACCAGTCAACCCCATCAAATGGCCACATTATTTCATTGCACTTGATACCATCCCCCCCCCCCCACTATCTCTAGGTTGAATTCCGGTGCTTTCAATTCCAACAGTCTTACCAGGTAGAATGATGCCCGACGCCAGGCACTCCATAACTCTCCGTAACGCTTCTCCAGCACCCAACGGCCTATTACAAGTTCCTATTGCTTTTTCAGATATGAGTTCTAGCGGCTGAGAGAAACGAGAGTCAGAAGGTGTGTCTACTTAAAAGGCCCCCAATAAATGAATTAAATAAACAAAACATCGGTTACAACAAAAACAATGCAAAAGAAAAAGGATTTTTCTAGCGGCTGAGAGAAGCGAGAGTCAGAAGGTGAGTCTACTTAAAAGGCCCCCAATAAAAAAAGAAGGTGCGTCTACTCAAAAGGCCCCCAATAAATAAAGAGGGTGAGTCTACTCAAAAGGCCCCCAATAAATAAAGAGGGTGAGTCTACTTAAAAGGCCAATAAACAAAACATCGGTAGTTACAACAAAAACAATGCAAAGGAAAAAGGATTTTTCTAGCGGCTGAGAGAAACAAGAGTCAGAAGGTGAGTCTACTCAAAAGGCCCCCAAGAGGGTGAGTCTACTTAAAAGGCCCCCAATAAAGGTGGTGAGTCTATTTAAAAGGCCCCCAATAAAGGTGGTGAGTCTACTTAAAAGGCCCCCAATAAAGGTTGGTGAGTATACTCAAAAGGCCCCCAAGAGGGTGAGTCTACTTAAAAGGCCCCCAATAAAGGTGGTGAGTCTACTCAAAAGGCCCCCAAGAGGGTGAGTCTACTTAAACCAAGGGGTGAGTCTACCCCCCAATAAAGAAGGCCCCAAGAGGGTGAGTCTACTTAAAAGGCCCCTCAATCCTTAAAAGGCCTAAATAAAATAGGTGAGTCTACTTAAAAGGCTCCCAATAAATAAATAAAACATCGGTAGTTACAACAAAAACAATGCAAAGGAAAAAGGATTTTTCTAGCGGCTGAGAGAAACGAGAGTCAGAAGGCGAGTCTACTTAAAAGGCCCCCAATAAATAAATAGGGCGAGTCTACTTAAAAGGCCCCTAATAAATAAAGAGGGTGAGTCTACTTAAAAGTCCCCCAATAAATAAAGAGGGTGAGTCTACTTAAAAGGCCCCCAATAAATAAAGAGGGTGAGTCTACTTAAAAGACCCCCAATAAATAAATAAACAAACAAAACATTGGCAGTTACAACCAAAACAATGCAAAGGAAAAGGGATTTTTCTAGTGGTTGAGAAAAACGAGAGTCAGAAGGTGAGTCTACTTAAAAAGCCCCCAATAAATAAAGGGGTTGAGTCTACTTAAAAGGCCCCAATAAATAAATAAACAAACAAAACCCCAATAAATGCAAAGGAAAAAGGAAGTGGTTGAGAAAAACGAGAGTCAGAAGGTGAGTCTACTTAAAAGGCCCCCAATAAATAAAGAGGGTGAGTCTACTTAAAAGGCCCCCAATAAATAAATAAACAAACAAAACATTGGTAGTTACAACCAAAACAATGCAAAGGAAAAAGGATTTTTCTAGTGGTTGAGAAAAACGAGAGTCAGAAGGTGAGTCTACTTAAAAGGCCCCCAATAAATAAAGAGGGTGAGTCTACTTAAAAGGCCCCCAATAAATAAATAAACAAAACATCAGTAGTTATAACAAAGCAATGCAAAGGAAAAAAGAAATCTTATAATTCAGCCAACAACTGTCATAAAAATACCTCTGCTATTATCTGAGCATTTTTTAGGACCCAACACCATGCAAGGACGTCCCACCACAATCCACACTCACCCATCCTTTGAGCCGTGTCCAGGTAGGAACTCTGTTGCACAAATCTCGAAGAATACGCAGCACAATTACACAAGATTTTAGTCCGTTCGCTCTCGCCTGGAATAGACAAAATGGTTCCAATCCCGCTTCTGTGTTCTCTCTCTTTCCCCCAAAACCTACAGAGGCCTCAGACAGATTCTTTACAAATTACGATTACTGAGTAGTAGATTAAAGTTCATGCAAAGAATGACGGCACATCCGTGTTTAGAAAGGTCAGGTTTTAAAACTGAAAAGCTTCACGTAAAAAAGATTGCTTTTGTAGCCTCATGATAATGATATACCAGCTAACACCGCTACACCTAAGAAAAAAAAAAAATATCTAGACAGCATCAGTGCCACCTGTAGGCAGGAGGCCAACATAGCAGGGGGGAAGGGGGTGGGGGTGTCAAAAGCTTTCCACATTAAAAGGTGAGCAATTCCGATTTGTTCATTGTGTTAAAGGCATACAGCTGAGAACCAATCATTAGCTGGCAAACGTCAAGCAATCTCCATCAGGGCCAAATAGATGGCACTGCTGCTAGGTAAAAAAAAAAACGTGACTTTTTGAAAAAAAAAAAAAAAAAAAAAAAAAAAAAAAAAAAAAAAAAGCGAATGTAGAATTATAAAACTACTCAGGTTTATTACGACAGGTTACAAAGTGCATGAATAACATGAGATCAAAAGAAAATCAAATGAAAAAAAAAAAAAAAAAAAAACCTCATAAGGCTACAATAACAATAAGGTAAGAACAAATAGCCAACCTGAAACCATTTGGCATGTCGCAGAGACGCCAAGGCGTTCAGGCATTGCTGCCTGTCCAATAAGTCCGGAGGATCTTTCATCGCAACATTTTCTACTGATAAGATGGGATATAAAAAAAAAAAAAAAAAAAAAAAAGACAGATACAATTTGACCAAGGGGATTTCTGTCACAGGAAAGAGTATGGCAGCATCTGAACAAGCTAATAAGACTCCCAGAGAAAAAACTGAATGGTTCACAAGAGTGCACGGCGGTTATATTCTCCAAAAGGCCATTCAAAAGTAGTATGTGCAACACAAAGCAAAAAAAAGGAGGCATTCACTTCCAAGTTTACAAATCAATAACAGCTATGTACCATCTGGGATCTTATTAAAAATGCACAACATATTTCAGGACGATAAAAATAGGCACATAGCGCTTCCTGGACCCTCCCTGAACCCATCGCCGTGTTCCTGTATCTCCCATCCGATCGTTAAATTGCATCCCCCCCCCCCCCCCACACAAAGTAAGTCAGGATGCGAGATAGTTTGTGAATATCGTTCTGATTAAACAGTTGCAATCAAATAAAAATTGTAAACGAGGCTTGCGGTATCATTCTTGGATACCTTTGTGGCTGCAATTGTATCGATAGATCCAGAAAAGGTTGTATTGTTGCTGTATTGTCTCCCTTTATATTGTAAAGCGCTGAGTAAACTGTTGGCGCCATAAATCCTGTATAATAATAATGTTGTATATAAATCCTGTATAATAATAATAATGTTGTATATAAATCCTGTATAATAATAATGTTGTATATAAATCCTGTATAATAATAATAATGTTGTATATAAATCCTGTATAATAATAATGTTGTATATAAATCCTGTATAATAATAATAATAATGTTGTATATAAATCCTGTATAATAATAATAATAATGTTGTATATAAATCCTGTATAATAATAATAATGTTGTATATAAATCCTGTATAATAATAATGTTGTATATAAATCCTGTATAATAATAATAATGTTGTATATAAATCCTGTATAATAATAATTTGTTGTATATAAATCCTGTATAATAATAATAATAATAATGTTTTTTTATATAAATCCTGTATAATAATAATAATAATAATTTATATAAATCCTGTATAATAATTAATGTTGTATATAAATCCTGTATAATAATAATAATGTATATAAATCCTGTATAATAATAATAATAATAATGTTGTATATAAATCCTGTATAATAATAATGTTGTATATAAATCCTGTATAATAATAATAATGTATATAAATCCTGTATAATTTTTGTATATAAATCCTGTATAATAATAATAATGTTTTTTTTTATATAAATCCTGTATAATAATAATGTTTTGTATATAAATCCTGTATAATAATAATAATAATGTTGTATATAAATCCTGTATAATAATAATAATAATGTTGTATATAAATCCTGTATAATGATAATAATGTATATAAATCCTGTATAGTAATAAAATAATAATAATGTATATAAATCCTGTATTATAATAATAATAATAAAAATATATAAATCCTGTATAATAATATATGTTGTATATAAATCCTGTATAATAATAATAATAATAATAATAATAATGTTGTATATAAATTCTGTATAATAATAATAATAATAATGTTGTATATAAATCCTGTATTATAATAATAATAATAATAATAATAATAATAATAAATAATGTATATATAAATCCTGTATAATAATAATAATGTATACAAATCCTGTATAATAATAATAATGTATACAAATCCTGTATAATAATAATAATGTATACAAATCCTGTATAATAAAATTAATAATAATAATGTATATAAATCCTGTATAATAATAATAATGTTGTATATAAATCCTGTATAATAATAATAATAATGTATATAAATCCTGTATAATAATAATAATAATAATGTATATAAATCCTGTATAATAATACATAATAATGTATATATACAGTTGTGTTCAAAATAATAGCAGTGTGTTGAAAAAAGTGAATAAAGCTGAAAATCCTTCTAATAGCTTTTATTTCCATCCACACAAATGCATTGGGAACACGACACATTCTATTCCAAATCACAACATGAAGAAAAATACATTAAATTTGTGCTGTTCCTCTAAAAAAAATTGCAGAAAAGTGAATATTAGACGGTTCAAAAAAATCGCAGTGTTTGTATTCTTCTTTACAAACTCAAACATTCACTATATAAACTGAGAAATGTTTGAAGATTTTGCTTTCCTTTGAATGACTTCATGAATATTTGGTTGTAGTCGCACTGTTTCTGAGAACTGCTGTACATCTGTGTTGCATGGAGTCCCCCAACTTCTGGCCCCTGTGATCAGGTATTCCAGCCCAGGATGATTGGACCACATTCCACAGTTCTTGCCTCAGAAACGGCATTTTTGATGTCACCCCACAAGTTTTCTATTGGATTAAGATCCGGGGATTGGGCTGGCCACTCCATAACGTCCATCTTGTTGGTCTGGAACCAAGATGTTGTACGTTTACTGGTGTGTTTGGGGTCGTTGTCTTGTTGGAACTCCCATTTCAAAGGCTGATCCATGATCCCTGGTATGCGATAAATAGGCCCAACACCGTAGTATGAGAAACATCCCCATATCATGATGCTTGCACCACCATGCTTCACTGTCTTCACAGTGTACTGTGGCTTGAATTCAGTGTTTGGGGGTCGTCTGACAAACTGTCTCCGCCCACTAGACCCAAAAAGAACAATCTTACTTTCATCAGTCCACAAAATGTTGCGCCATTTCTCTTTAGGCCAGTCAATGTGCTCTTTGGCAGATTGTAACCTCTTCAGCACGTCTTTTTTCCCCAACAGTGGGACTTTGCGGGGGCTTCTTGCAGATAGCTTGGCTTCACATCGGCGTCTTCTAATTGTAACAGTCCTCACAGGGAACGTCACACCTTCTTTCATCTTCCTGGAGCTGATTGTTGGCTGAGTCTGCCCCATTTTGGCTATTCTTCTATCCATTCCAATGGTAGCTTTTCGCTTTCTTCCACGTCTTTCAGGTTTTGGTTGCCATTTTAAAGCATTTGCGATCATTTTAGCTGAGCAGCCGATCATTTTCTGCACTTCTTTATATGTTTTCCCTCTCTCCAATCAACTTTTTAATCAAGGTACGCTGTTCTTCTGAACAATGTCTGGAACCACCCATTTTCCTCATAATTTCAGAGAGAAATGCACTGTAACCAGCATGTACAACATTTGCTGCCTTCCTTCCTTGAATAAGGGCAATAATTGCCACCTGTTTTTCAAAGAATGAATGACCTCACTAATAGAACTCCACACTGCTATTATTTTGAACACGCCCCTTTCAATGAGTGATTCAATGACACAGAATCAGCAGCATGCATGTCATGACTGTTGGGTCTGTTGGATTTCTATGACTCTACTACACCTGCTAGGAAATTATTTGCCATGTAGAAATATCATTTCTACCAAACACAGTGATTGATCCGGTTAGTGATGTCTGACTGCTATTATTTTGAACACAACTGTAAATCCTATATAATAATAATAATAATAATAATAATGTATATCTGGATATTTTTCACCTACAGCAATGTTGGAATTAAAAGCTATGAATCCAAACGGTAAAGAATACTGGCCGAAAACATTTTTTGGATCTACCAATTCTTCATCTTTTGTGTATTTCATTGAAAATGTTTTATCTATCACCATGTGAGCCGTCTTTATATCTAGAACACATTCAGCCTGGGTTAATCTGCATTCATTATCAGTTGCACGCAGCTCTGTTCACCTACGGGATCTTGTTTGGCACTGTTTAAGCCCGGGTTCACATATATGCGGCGCGGTACATTGCATGTGAACACACCACATTCCTGTGCAAATCACATGCGATTTGTGTGCGGTGCGATCGGAGCCATTTTGTATGGCTCTACTCGCACCGCACCCAAAACGCGCAGGACCCTTTTTTGAGTCCACACTAGAAATCGGATCGCATGGGTATGGGGGGGCAGTAGTAGTTGGTCAGTGCTGCCTCTCTCCACATGGGAAGACGGGATATGGTGTTGGTCGGTATCAGGTTCTCTCCGTGCGTGGAGGGGGGGGGGGGGTTGGAGGCCAGGGTATGGGGGGCAGTAGTAGCTGGTCGATGCTGGCTCTCTCCACACAGGGAGACTGGATATGGTGTTGGTCGGTGTCAGGTTCTCTCCGTGTGTGGAGGGGGGGGTTGGTGGCCAGTGTATGTGGGGGCAGTAGTAGCTGGTCGGTGCTGGCTCTCTCCGCAAGGGGAGACAGGATATGGTGTTGGTCGGTGTCAAGTTCTCTCTGTGCACGGGGGGATTTGGTGGCCAGTGTATAGGAGGGCAGTAGTAGTTGGTCGGTGCAGGTTCTATCTCCAAGGGTGAGATAGGATATGGTGTTGGTCGGTGTCAAGTTCTCTCCACACGGGGAGGGGATATGTAGTAGTTGGTCGGTGTCAGGTTCTCTCCGTGCAAGGGGGGACCAGGTATGAGGGGCACTATGGTAGTTGGTCGGTGCAAGGCTCTCTCCTCACGGGGAGATGGGATATGGTGTTGGTCGGTGTCAGGTTCTCTCCGTGCGTGGAGGGGGGGTTGGCGGCCAGTGTATGAGGGGCACTAGTAGTTGGTTGGTGCTGGCTCTCTCCTCACGGGGAGACGGGATATGGTGTTGGTCGGTGTCAGGTTCTCTCAACACGAGGAGACGGGATATGGTGTTGCTTGGGGTCAGGTTCTCTCCGCACGCAGGGGTTCGAGCGATTTTTGTGTTGCCTAGGGTAGCACAAAACCTACATACACCACTGGATGTGGCACATATATATAGTTTCTTTGTCAAACGTTTTATTGAAATGCTGAACAATATAAAAAGCCGATCGCCCGCGCAGGGGTGCCATGTAATAGACAACCGATGAGTAATTAAAGAGGCAATGATCAAACATTTGAAAAACATTATTAGCAGTATAGAGCCGCCCAGAGGCCAAAGCTCTAGCGTGGCTTTCATGGTTCAGGAACAATGCCCGAGTGATCAAACAGCATGTACTAGCAAAAAAAAAAAATTAATAGCGTTT